GCTTCGCCTCGGTCAACAATTACATGTAATCTGAGACATTTCTTATTTTCCTGCCCTATATAAAAAAAAATACTATTTCTACAGATATAAAATTTCATAGAATCTCAAGAGAAACAGGTAATTACAGGGATGGTCTCCAAGGTCAACGGATTAAAATATTTTTCTATTTTAATAATTATACTTTTTTTACAACAATCGTCTCTTTGGCAGCGGCGAAAAAGTCATTGTAAGATTTCTAAAATTTAACTTTACATGTAGCTATATAGTCAACGGATTGAGTATTTTGCATACATTTTATTATTGCTGATCATATATAACCGATGAATTGTTCTTATTACGGGATTGCGGGAATGTAATAGATTAAAATGAATACATTTTCTAAACACTTGAGATGGGGAAAAGAAATTTGGCTACTCATTTTAAGAGATTTCGTAAAATCAAATCTTGAAATCGTAAATCCAAAATTATTATTTATTTTTGGAGAAAGCCACGGGAATGTTATAGTGATTGCACATTGTAAGTTACAATGGATATTCGCTAGAATGATGACATTGATAATAGGTACAGGCCAATCCGATAGAATTTGGAATCTGTGCAAGTCAAAACAATACTTCAATTGAATTTCAAGTCTAGATCTCAAAATTCAATTCTATAGTGCCCAGCGGAGCGGGCGGGTAACAGCTAGTGTTATCATAAAACAAAAACCTCTTTTGTCATTTTATAAATAGCTTTTACCAATAGTCATTGCATTGTTAATAAAAATTCAAAAAATTTATGCATTTAATTTTTTTTTACATTGTATTTTTTGTTAAAGATAAAAATTTTTAAATTAAAAATTTTTTAATTTTTAAGTAAAAATAAGGCATAATTTATTGTTTTTTTTTTTTTATAAATTACTTAAAAATCAATTTGTACAGTGCCATATTATTTTTTTTCCGGAAATAAATGAAAAACTAAATATTTTTTAAGAATTTTCGGAAAATTTGTAAATTTTGACGTTCAAACAAAAATTTAGAGTTAACGCAATAATTTTTTTTATATTCTGTTGCTGATTTCTATTTTTAGTCTTTACTTAAACAACTCTTTGGTTGTTTTCCTTCTTTTCTATTGATGCGTTTGCAAGAAGTGGAACACCAGTTAAGAAGTTAAGTTAACCGTAATGAAATGAAAAGTGTAAAGAAGTAAAAGTTACAAGTTGAAAGAAGACCAATCAAATAACATCATGAAGAACAAACAATTCACGTGTTTTGCATTTAAAATAAACTGATGCTGACGCGCTTTTGTATCTTAGTTTATAAACGGACGGAATATTACTGTAAACCTATGGGCTTATTTATTTTTTATTTGATATGCAATTTTGAATATCAATTATTGAAGCTCGTCTAATGTCAAAAGTTTAATGTAAAATTTATTTTATGCAGTGATGCAGTGATGAATAAAGTTATTTTTGTTGGAAAAATAAATTAAATTTATTGAAATTTAAGAGGTCGTAGGCCACATTGGAAATTTAAGGTGTTACAGGTGAGTTATTTTTGTTAATTTTTCATATGACGCTTGTTTTTTATCTGCGAGCTGGGTGAATCATAAACATAAAATATTCGCTTTATTTATTTCGAATTATTCGAGGCCACAAAAAAACTTTTTATCTTTCAAGTAAGGTTCAATAAAATTTTGTGTGGTCATGATTCAAGAAGTTCTGGTTATTTACTGAATAAATAATATTAAAAAATTTTTGTATTTAATTATTGACTGAGATAAGAATCACTAAGAACACTGTACTCATAAACAGTGAATTAATTAATGTGCAACCACCCCTGTAATAACTATTTTTGGAAATGACAATATAAAAAAAAAATTTTATTTTATTTTATTTTGGAAAAAAACTGACCGTAAAAATGTATCGGTAGGGATTGAATTTCAAGGTACATAAAAAAAATTTGAGTATAAATTTTTTTATGACCTTAACTTTATGTTACATGCATTAATTTATACCATCAGGGCTTATGACAAATAATAAAATGAACATGAAATAATATAATAAAATAAGAAATTTTTTACTTCGAATCGTTACTTTTATGCTTCAAATATTGACCAATTAAATACAATAGTCGTATATGAAGAAAGTGACAAAATAATATTCAATATCTCATTCATCAACACCTACTCTTTGAATTACTTTGAAGTTTTTTTCCCTTTTATTCAAAGCCACGTGAGTTTCCTTTTTACCGCAAAAATGTGATGTGACTCAAAGGACTCTGTTAATTATCAATAACATTACACAATATCAAATTCAATGTCAGTGCTTTGATATCAATCCGGTTTACTTTTTTTCACTAACAATCAATTAAAAGTGTATTTAATTTACGCACGTGTTTGAAAAATCATTAAGTTTTTTTATTAATAAAGAAAGATATACTGTAATGAATTCGACTGAAAAAATCGGACTGAAATCAATAACTTCCTTTTAGTGAAAGGAAGTTATTTTAATGAAAATTTCAATTTTCCACTAAAGGCGGGAAGTTAAAAATAGTAATTATTTTGTTTTGATATTTTAAAACAATACAGTTACATAATTTAGTAATAACAATACTTGAAACCTCTGAAGAGCTTGTTGTTAAATTACCTCGAAGTTCAAGGTAAATTATTGTATGCTGGTTCAAAGAGTTATTTTTTACAATATTATTGTCGGGTGGTGTTGTCGGGTGCTAGTTCAATATTCTATGAAACTATATTATAAATATTTTTAAAAAGTGTATGTTTTCAAACTTTAGCTATATTAAGTTCGTATCGATACTCGTATTCTTTCTATACTCTGCACACTGTACAGCTGAAAATGCAATTTTAAAAATCGATACTGCAATAACGAAATTCTAAATTGGACACTTTTGATGAGAAATGTAAATTATTAAAAGTGACAAACCCAGCATGGCTATAAAATTGCACTACTCATAATGCATGTATGAGCGATTTTTACGATTGAAAAATTTTTAATTTTTTATGCATTAAAAATTCAACTGAATTAAAACAATCACAGTTAATTTTTATCAGATGGTGGAAGTAATTTTTTCTTAATTCAAATTATCATAAATACTTGATACAATAAATTTTTATATTTGATCAAGATTTTTAGATACTTTAGGGAAGCAGCGCCACCTACTTCAGCTGAGAAAAAAATTTTCTCACCTTGAGAAAATTTTTCTCTTGAATATTTGATACCCATTTTATATTATTTTAGCGTGCAATTATACATATTGAATGAAAAAAAATGATTCTATATTATTTGATCTTC